ATATATATATATATATATATGTATTTATTATTAAATATTTTTATAAGTGTAAAAATATAAAAATCTTAAGTTGTCAATCAAGTAATATCCATACAAGACCTCCAAGAGTAGCAAGAAGTAGCAAGCCATCAACATAGCCCCACAAACTTTGTTGAACTCCAACTAACCTTGCCTTTCTCCCATGAAAGTCATGATCATCACAGTCTAACCACAAAGAAAACATGCAAGGGTAAGCTAGATTTCCAAAAGAATATAGTATAGGAAGAAATCATTTATATTATTATCAACATCCACATATAAATCAATAATAAATGCCTCATGGTTCACAATAGTCACCAATTGAACAAACAATCAACATGTTTGAAAGCTAAATACCAGGCAATTTCAAACATTTACCACAGTTGTGTACCATGCAACAAGGCATTCATCTAGTGCATATAAACAACAATCAACTCACACCACATCACATGCACACATCACAACTAATGTATCGTCACACATTCACCTATAAAAATCTCTTAACACACCTGAGTAGTTTAAGTGACTTAACTCTATCGAACCAACCTAATCGTTTTCACACCTCATGCTCCCACTAGATTGACAACTAAATTAGGATACCAATCCTTATGGTCTGATTTTTTAGGTGCTGCCACTTACACTAGAAAATTTTAGTTTTACTATCAGGATTAGTATAGTTAAGTATAGGTATACCACGACCTTATCATGCATTACCAAGATACTTATGGAATTATTCCACTAACTATCCTCAAGGAATCATGCAAACTTTTTAGTAATCAGTTAAGAGTTGTAGCCCTCGACTTCATACCTTACTAAAACATTGACTAAGGACCTAGAAGAGATTCAACAAAGTCACTCCAAGAGTTTCACACCTACTTAAAGAGGGTTTTCAATAACTAGCCTCCTAGAGCACCACAACAATATTCCCTACATGAGATATTCAACTTTTTAAATCAACCTCCTTTCCTCTAGTCCTAAGCCAATCAACATGTTTTAATACCTATAGCATCCTCAACATCAATATATATCATCTATATACATTACCCTAAGTCAATGTATATAGAGATTAAATCACACCAAACATTTATAGCATACCAATGCTCTATAGCTCATTCAAGTATAGTGTACCAATACTTAACAATAGTTTCAATCATACATCATCTATTTATATTATCTAAGATCAATATACATAGAACCATCATCATCATCCAACACACAACATGTATTAGACTTAACAATTATATTGACGTTCACCATACAACTCACCAAACAAAAATAAGTACAAGACAACTTGTGCCCAACACAACTTACAATGCACCAAACGTCACTAAGGTAGGGAGCTCTCTGCCTCGCACACGCCTAACGCCACTCAACTCGCACCTAGCATGGCTGAGGTAAGGAACACTTGGGACCTCACATCTGGTGTGGAAAAATTTCACGCCTGGCCTCACTATAACCTAAGACAATTCTCTCTCCTCATATTTGATGTCACTCCTTTGATGCCTGACACTAGTCCAGGTAGAGGAAATTCTCTCATCTTATGCTCAACGTCATTCAAATCACGGTCAACGCCACTTCAACCTACTATAATTCTCTCTCCTCACCTCCTATGCCACCATGCCTTACACCCAACGTGAGCAAAATTAAGAGCCTCTATTGAAGGCATGCCCAATGCCATGAAAGTGCGCTCAACAAGACATTAGAAATCTACAATTGTGAAACACAAAATTGCCCTAACCATCTTAAAAACATAAACTTCCAAGCATGCAATGCATCAAACCACACATATACATCAATAACAACTCATTTCACACTAAAAATCGAACAACATGCGACAAAAAATGAGATCAAATCATCAAATTTGTACTCATGTGCTCAAAGCACTAAAACCTACCCCTTTCATCCAATCCTTCGAAAATCTAATGCATGCACACATCATGGGTGAAAACAAACAACATACAACTCATCTATTCAACCATAAATCATTCTACCTTTCCTTACCTCAGCTTCGAGCAACTAAAAATGAAGAAGAGGAAGAATAGGGGAAAGACGACTCCGAGTTCTAAACAATGAAAGCTCTACACCAACCCCTCTAATTCTCGGCTAAGATTCAAGACACTCTAGACTTGAATCACAAACATATAAACTAGTCAATGATTTTGAGGAAAGAATCCTCCTATAAAGAGAAGGTTTAGAGAGAAGAAGAAACTCATAAACTGATATCATTTCTCTTTAGTTTATATCTCTAGAATTTTGAAGAATTGAACTTATGAGACCCAATTCTTAACAAAAATCTTATATAACATCTCTCTCAAAGCTAAACTAGACCTTTGGGTAAAGCAACCCTCAAAACACCCTAATAACTCTATAAGAGTTCCTTAACTCCTTAGAATTTCTCAACACTACATCTCAAAGCAACCTCACATAATTATTGTTAAAAGGCAATAATTTAGTAAAAACTTAAGGTGTTGCATCCGTATTCAAAGAAAAGAGAAAATAAGCTTGAAAATGTGTTTATTTTTAATTTTAGGAAATTTTGTATGTGAAAACATTTTAAAAAGCAATTGAATTTTAAAAACATAAAAACCTTATTTTCAATTGATGGTATTACAATAATTATTGAATTCTTTTTCCCTTGCTAATTTTTTTTCTTATATTTTTCTCAAATCCGTTCATAATTGTCTTGAAACTACTTTTTTTTATTTTTTTTTATATTTTTTTATATAGAATTGAAACTACCTTTTAATCATAATTTAACTGAATCGTTTCATCGTTATCTTTACAATCCTTTTATTTTGTTAATAATTTAACTCATTAAAATTTTTGTCATTTCATATAATTCTTAATTACATTATTTCACAATCCCTATATTAAATATGGATCTTTATATTGTATAAGGGTTCTTTGATAAAAGGTTTGTAAATTTTCTTTTTTATTTCTTATCTAATTCAATAAAACACATACAATACATCCCTATATATTAAAGATAGATGTTTATCTCGTATAAGAGTTTTTTTAAGAATTTTTCTTCTTTATCATAATTATTTATAAATTAAATGTTAATATTTAAATAATTTGTCAATAAATTTTTTTATTACAATATAAATTATTTATTATAAATCTAAAATTTACATATTTAAAAATATTTATGTATATTATTTTAAATATAATTTATATATATAAATATATTATTTATTTATATATTGAATTTATTATAAATTTTAATTATATATAATAAATATATATGAATCTTGTGTAGGCGGATGCCGTTGCGGAGGTGTTGTGGCGAGTGGGGAAGAAGAGCAAAGCGTGCAGGGTTATTATAAATTTTAATTATATATTTAAATATTACTTCTTCACATGAATAATTTAATGAACTTGAACACCCAAACAATCTCGGTCAAAGGAAAGTGTGCATGCTCTTTCCAGGATGACATGTTCTTTTTAGGCGGTGGAAAACGGAAACTCCATTAAAAAAGAGAGAAAACACCAGGGACACTAAAAATAATGGAAATGGATCCTACTTAAGTAGTACGTTAGCAAGTTCCTGTTTCTGCTCATACCTTATTCTTGTTAGTGGACATTTATAAATTGAATTTGGAATGCCATAGGCTTTCTCATTCAATATTAAAAAAAAGAAAATTTATCCCTTGAGCAAATGTTGTTTCATCCTCGTAAGCCTCACCACTTTACGAGTACTGTTGAAAGGGACTGAAATATATAATAAGCATTCCAACCAGACCAAAAATCATTTGCATTGTCTTATTTACCCTTCTCACTTATACTGCCACATGGATTAGATTGAAATATATAATAAATATTCCAACTAAAACAGAACATTCGCATTACTATATTGTCATTTAGCGTTAAATTCTAAACTTTAAACTCTAAATTAAAATTATTAATCTTTGCCACTTAATTAACTCGACCTTTGTTGAAAGTGATAGCTGGTTTTAGAGGTTGGTGAAGACAGAGAATTTTTTTTATTTCTATTTTATAATATAGAATAATTTTCCAAATTTATTAGAATATAGGTATAAATTAAATTCAATTCAGATTCAACGCAGAACTCTCAGCCTCTCTATTTATATGCCACCTTTCCTTAGACGCCAACTCATCCACTACTCTCTCTCTCTACACAACAAGTATCTTTCTTTCACTTGTTCACTATGAATATGCACAAAGCCTACCTTGTTGTCATGACCTTGGAGTTAGCATGTATTGGAATCAAGTATGGGGGTGGAGTCTCTGAAACCAATCCCTTCCAACCATCAACTCCAACTCCAACCGTGATGCTTTTCCTCACTGCTATGTTCTCCCACGTGCTTGCATCCACCGCTGACATCACCAACCAAACTATCATCATAACATTCCACGTGTCAGGGATCATTGGATGTGAAGCACTCCTGCAGATTCTCCTTGTTCACTTCTTGTGGTACTCTATCATCAACCTCATTCTCTTACTGCTAGCCTCCTTATGCTTCTTCAACTACATCACTCACCTCCTCACATGCTTCTTCAACTGCATCACTCCTTCCAATGCTGATCCCATGCCAAATATGGAACTCAAACAACCTCAAGCTCAGGTCTAGCATTTGTAACATACCCTGCTTCCGTTTATCAATATAGTCTTTCACTTCTGTTTCGCCCTTTATGCTCATATTTTCCTACTTTTCTTCATGTAATACTTCCCATTTTAGCTCAAATTTAAATTCCTAATAGTTAAGGGGTTAGTTAGTTAGATTAATCTCAAAATCATCATGTTATTACGGAACCCTGTGCTGCTTGCTATTTCAAGTGGGATAGTTAATTCTACAAGTTCTATGTAACTCTATTGGTGATCAATTTAAAGGTGCAAGTTTTCTTGCTCATGTTGGATAAAATTCATTTCAGAGTGGCCTAGTTCCACTACAAGAGATTCAATAGAGCAATATTTACAAAAGAAAATCCCTAAGGGCTGTATATAAATCTAAAGGCTTCTTGATGGATGTTGATGGACTAGGGTAGTTACAACTATTGGCAAAAGCCTGCAGTTGGTTTGGTTCTGGTAGTAGGATCATTGTAACAATAAGGAACACACATGCCTACTGTGTGGGATACCAAAAGAACTGAACTGAATTGAAACAACTTATATTGCAGGAAATTGGAAAGAGCAAGAACTTGTATCTAGCAGTTTTTTTCCACAACTGAATTTCATTACCTTAAGCTTTCCTTGACACAAGTTTAGTCGTAAGAGAATATGTATTTTTGGTTAGAGACTTAATCATTATTTACGCCAACTAGTTTTAAGAGCCGTAATGAATAAACTAACTTAACCAACTTCCATGTTGGACAGGATTTTTAGAGCTGGTAAGTGGTAATAGCTTATTTATTATTATCCCCACAATGAAAAGTTGATTTTTACTAAGCTATTTCCTAAGAGATGCTTTAAGTTGATAGGATTGGGGAAAAACATATTGCGTATGCCAATATTTACTAAGGAATTCCTAAAATTAAAAAACAGATTTCTCCATAGCAGGATTCTTTTGGTTTGTGATTCATGATGTTGTTGATGGACTACAGATGTTACAACTAATAGTAGGACTATAGGAGCTTATGATTGGCTTGGCTCCGGTGTTCACTATAACAAAAATTAATAAATAAATCTGCTACATTAGAATGATGTAAAAAAATATCTGACCTGAATAGAGCATATAGTTCCGCAAACTTGTATCCAGCTGTTTTGTGCCTCTGCTGATATTTACTTAAGCTTTACTGGATACACAGGCGAACTTCAGCATTAAACATTTAAGCAAACCCCAAAACTCAGTCCTAAACTTCAAGTTCACCACTGCTTGCTGTCAAAATGCTAAATTTTCTATGAATAGACTCCTTAAGTTTTATCCTTAAGAATCCAAGTTTAGTCGTAAGAGATTTGAAAGTACTTTTGGTTAGAGCCTTGGTCAATATATGTGCTAACTGGTTTTCAGAGTTGTATGGGCTAGTACACCAACTTTTTCCCTTTCTTAGATTCCATGAAACTTTTATGTGTTTAGTCCTTTCATGCGGGACAAGAGTATTAGTGATTGCAATGGTTGATTTATGATCATCCCACAATACAATAGCTTCATTTCCAAAGAAAAAAGAAAATAAAAGTTCTCAACTTAGTTTGATTATTCTTGGCCAAATAGCTTGATTTTCTGCCGAGACATTTTTTATTTCCGTAGAAAATTTAGATGAGAGCACTACTTGTTTTTGTCTATCATAGTTACTATCAACAATTTTTTTCTGCATGGATCAAATATGATGCATCTTGTATGACTTATCATGAAAAATATATAGTTTTTCAAGCATTCGACTGACGATAAGTTTGACTAATTCCAGCTACAAAAAGAATATCAATGATTAGTTTCACACCTGTTGAAATGTCAACTACAATTGTCCCTTCCTTTAAATAAAGTATTCTCCATTACTCAATTATCACTTTGGAGAGTAGCTCTTGTCTGGTTTCATGGCATTGTTTGCATGAGAAGCAATGATATTAGTGCCGCCTTTGTTTATCAGCCATGCATCCATGTTGGTATGTACCGTATGTTGCTCTCTGCAGCGAAACAGTTGGTAACAAAGTGTTTCTCTTCATCATGCTCTTGATATTCTTCAATTTGAACTTGTTGTCCTTGCTGATTCTCTTTTTGTTTTGCAGACTTCTGTATGTACTTGGGGATTGCTAGCAATGCAATGTATTCTTTCACTAAGGTCAAGGAGGAAACTTTCCATTTCTCCTAACATCACTATGCCTTTCACTATCCAATCTTCTTCCTTCCAGTTTTAGTGCTTGTTTGCTTCTCTGGCATCTTTGAATGTGTCAGTGTTAGGCCCCTAGTTAATAAAGTCTATGGTAGAAAGTCTAAGAGGTTTGAATTATTGAGGCCCAACTTTGTTGTATTAGCTGAATAAAGACTATGGAAAGGTGGGGAAGGTTAGTTATGATGGGGAGGAGGGAATAAATTGAGTGGAACTAATAGGAGACCGATGATTAAGAAAAGGGTGTATGTAAGGCATAGAGGTGGAACATAATTGCTTTTGGGTTTATGTTATTTGTCTTTGAGGAGATATATTTATCAAGAGGTGAGAGTTAAATCTTTGTTGTTTTTATCTGGTTATTTCAAACACATCTCTTTAATGGTAAGATATTGTTCACTTTGAATTTTATCTTTTATGGTTTTGCTTTTAGTCATCATCCAAAAAGTTCCCCAAGTCCCAACCAATGAACTGATAGGAGACCAATGATTAAGAAGAGGGTGTATGTAAGGCATAGACGGGGAACATAATTGCGTTAAGGTTTATGTTATGATATTTGTCTTTGAGGAGATATTGTTAAAGCAGTAAAACTTTTCCTTTGTTTTTTACTGCTATAATTAATTATGGTTGTTTGCATTAGTGGGTAAAGTTTCGCTGTAATTATGTTTGCTTAGTTCAGTAGATAATATCTTGTTAGGTTTCTGATTTTAGGCAAATCTACACACTTAATGATGGTGGGAACATGTGTTTTACTGACAGCATTTATGGGCTCTATGTATGACTGTCATTTTTCATGTATTTGCCTTATTTATGAATGAAAAACAAGCAGAATGGTATGGTTGTTCAGCAAATACGAAATTGCTCTGTTCCCTAACCTTTCCTCTTCTCTGTTTTATGATTTGTATGGTTTTTTATGTTTTATGCTTCCGCTGCCCATTGCTTGTCTTAACAGTGGTATCGAGAGCATTGTTCTTATAGGCTATGGGTCTAAAAAAATTTGAGATGAGAGATTAAACACTTGTGAGTGAGTGATAAAATGGCTTCGGGGAATAATGGTGTATTTGTTGTTCCTCAATTTTCCGGGGAAAACTATCACATATGGATTGTCAAAATGAGATCATGTTTGAAGTCTTTTGGCTTATGGGAGTATGTAGATCAAGATAAGGAAGTTCCACCATTGAGGGCTAATCCTACCATAGCTCAAATGAAGCAACATGAGGAGGAGACTTTGAAGAAGGAAAAAGTTGTCTCATGTTTACATTCAGCTTTGACAGATGATGTTTTTACAAGCATTATGCATTTGGAAACAGCAAAACAAATATGGGACGAGTTGAACGAAAGGTATGCCGGTGATGAACGGGTGAGATCCATCAAACTATTGACTCTTAAAAGAGAGTTTGAAATGCTGAAAATGAAAGAAAGTGAATCAGTCAAGGAGTACACTTCAAAGCTGTCTCACTTGGTGAACCAAATGAGATTGTATGGAGAGGTGGTCCATGACCACAAGGTAGTCGAAAAAATGTTGATCAGTCTACCTGTAAAATTTGAAGCCAAAGTTGCTGCCATTGAAGAGTCATGTGATCTTAAGAAACTAACCATTTCCGAAATGGTCAGTAAATTGCAAGCTCATGAGCAAAGATTCTCCATGAGAATGGATGATGTAACTGAAGGTGCATTTCAAGCAAGACACAAGGAAAAGCAAGCTGGTCAGAAAATCAAAAGAAGCAAAATTATAAAATAGTTGGTGACCAAAAGGGGAAAACCAAGATGGATGGGAGTAGTGAATCTGCAGAAAACAATCATTTTCCTTGTTGTTCTACATGCAAAAGAACAAATCACTTGTCGAAAGATTGTTGGTATAAGGGGAAGCCTCAAATCCAATGTAACATTTGCAAGAAGTGGGGAAATAGAGAAAGGTACTGCAGATCTAGGCAGAACCAATCTCAACCACAACATGTACATCAAGTTAACTTCACCGATCAGCAATTCCAAAATGAAAAACACTTGTTTATGGCTACTCAAACAAGTAGTTCAAGTTCAAATATGTATGGTATGTTGATAGTGGGTGCACAAACCACATGGCGAGGAACTCAAGTCTCTTTACTTCTTTGGATAGGCCTGTCCAAACCAAAGTTAAGCTTGGAAATGGAGATATCGTACAGGCTGAAGGAAGAGGTACAATTTCTGTTCACAGTAGCAAAGGTCCTAAATTTATTCATGATGTTTTATTTATTCCTGATTTGGATCAGAATTTGCTAAGTGTTGCTCAACTAATGAAGAGAGGATATTCTCTTTCATTTAAAAACAATGGCTGTATCATATTGGATTCAAATGATTCTGAAGTTATTAAGGTGGAAATGTGTGATAATAGCTTTCCAATCAGTTTGAATCAAGTGAATGAATCAGCTCTTGTTTCCAAACATGATGATTCTGTTTTATGGCACAAAAGATATGGTCACTTTAATATGGGTGCTTTGAAATTTTTGCAAACTCATGATATGGTGAGAGACATGCCTATGATGGGTATTATTGATGATTTATGTGATGCTTGTCAATTGGGAAAAATGCATAGAAAGTCTTTTTCATCAACAAATGTCACACGAGCAAAGGAAAAATTGGAGCTTATTCACACTGATTTGTGTGGTCCAATGAGTGTTCCTTCTCTTAGCCAAAGCAAATATTTTCTTCTGTTTATTGATGATTTGACAAGAATGACATGGGTGTATTTTTTATCAAGCAAAGCTCAAACTTTTGATGTCTTTAAAAAGTTTAGAGCCATGGTGGAGTCTCAAAGTGGCTGCAAAATTAAAATGTTGAGATCCGACAATGGGAAGGAGTATACATCTAATGAGTTTAATGCATTTTGTGAAGATATGGGCATTGTTCATCAATTGACAGTAAGTTATACTCCTGAACAAAATGGAGTTTCTGAGAGAAAAAATAGAACAGTTATGGAGATGGCAAGATGTTTAATTGCTGAAAAGAAATTGTCAAAATGTTTTTGGGCTGAAGTTGTTTATACAGCCGTGTATCTTTTGAATAGGCTGCCAACAAGAGTTGTTCAAGAGAAAACACCAATTGAAGCTTGGAATGGCGTGAAGCCCACTGCCAAACACCTGAAGATTTTTGGATCTATCTCAACGTAGTTTGATTTTCTTGGCCAAAATAGCTTGATTTTCTGCCGAGACATTTTCTATTTCCGTAGAAAATTTAGATGAGAGCACTACTTGTTTTTGTCTATCATAGTTACTATCAACAATTTTTTTCTGCATGGATCAAATATGATGCATCTTGTATGACTTATCATGAAAAATATATAGTTTTTCAAGCATTCGACTGACGATAAGTTTGACTAATTCCAGCTACAAAAAGAATATCAATGATTAGTTTCACACCTGTTGAAATGTCAACTACAATTGTCCCTTCCTTTAAATAAAGTATTCTCCATTACTCAATTATCACTTTGGAGAGTAGCTCTTGTCTGGTTTCATGGCATTGTTTGCATGAGAAGCAATGATATTAGTGCCGCCTTTGTTTATCAGCCATGCATCCATGTTGGTATGTACCGTATGTTGCTCTCTGCAGCGAAACAGTTGGTAACAAAGTGTTTCTCTTCATCATGCTCTTGATATTCTTCAATTTGAACTTGTTGTCCTTGCTGATTCTCTTTTTGTTTTGCAGACTTCTGTATGTACTTGGGGATTGCTAGCAATGCAATCTATTCTTTCACTAAGGTCAAGGAGGAAACTTTCCATTTCTCCTAACATCACTATGCCTTTCACTATATTTTTGTTCTCAGTTTGATCCAATCTTCTTCATTCCAGTTTTGATGCTTGTTTGCTTCTCTGGCAGCTTTGAATGTGTCAGTGTTAGGCCCCTAATTAATAAAGTCTATTTTAGAAAGTCTAAGAGGTTTGAATTACTGAGGCCTAACATGATACCAATGATTAAGAGTGTATATAAGGCATAGGGGAACACAATTGTAACGGAATGGTCTTTAAATAGTGAAAGGAAGGGAGTTAGCTGAGATAGACATTTACTCAAAAGTTGTTAGGAGATAAGAAGTTTCTCGAATACCTCATTGCATTTCTGTAGTTGTATTGATTAGGAGAATTGCTCAATAATACTCAAGGTTCAAGCCTATATTCTTTTCAATCTTTCTATCACATCAGTTGGAACCTATCAACTGGTATTCCTCGAACACGAATTATTAACTGTAAAGTATATCTTTCTCCATTGCATGTTTGGTCATTTTCAAATACTTTTATAATTAAGCTTCTATTTTCTATGTAAATTGTATGCATTGATGTCAGTATTAATGATGTTATATTTATAGATGGAAAGTAAAATTATCTTTTTATATTCTTTATCATCATTCAACTTGTAATGTTATTACATTTTCAAAGTATTTAAGCTGTAATATAGGGAAATGGACATAATTGGTTGGGAATAGGGAAAACCTCCTTCTTTATACTTTATTGCTTGATATTGAACTCTTTTATACTATTAAGTAAAATTGTGAAAATTAGTCTAATATTAAAAATGGACATATGTAGTTTTGTTGCAATACTTTTGATTTTGTATAAATAATGTATTAATATGATATGTTATACAGGTTTTTCTTACATGATATATTTCAAATTATCATTTTTAATACAATTATATATTAAAAATTTAATGAGTTGAAAAATAAAATAGTGGTGCATTGCACTGGGATAAGCACAGTGCTCAAGTCCAGTCATTTTTTTTTAACAATAAAATATTAATTAATATTAATTAAGGCACTAGGGGTACCATAACCCTGTTTACAAAAATTTTGGTTAGATATAATATAGTAAGATGACTATATTACTAGCTAATCAATTTAATTGTCAATAATTTAGAATTTTCTAAAGGGTGTGAGTTGGAAATTGCACACCCCCACTTTCTGCTTTTGACTTTGCTTATTTAACTATTTATTAACTGTGACGTTATGCATTTTGAAATTTGTTTGTGTTTAGTTTCGTTTGACACTTTGCTTCAATTGCATTACATTGATGTGGCAATACTAGTTATATACAATTATCAATATGTATATAATAACGTATATATATTAAGTTTGTTACCTATAAAACATATACATTGTTTTAGTGGTTACTGCCGTTGCTATTTATTACATGCCCACCAGAAACATTTTTGAGCTTGTATCTCATATTTTAAAAGTGAGAAAAATAAAATTTAAAATTACTTGTGTGTGACACGTGAGAAAATTTGAACGTTACCAAAGCGAGTTTACCAGATTGATAAAATCATACCTGTCCGCTCCAATTTTTGCCTGTTTGATTACGTGATGATCGAGTTGAGCACTCAGCAGTCATCACTGCTAGCAAGCAAGATATAAAATAAAAAATAGCATATGGGACCTACCTGGATTATTAGATTACCGGCATTGAGGTTCCACACAGTTTATTAAATTTTGCACTTGAGTATAATATCTTGTTAGGTTTTTGATTTTCGACAAATCTATACACTTAATGATGGTGGGAACATGTGTTTTACCGACAGTATTTATGGACTCTATGTATGGCTGTCATTTTTCATGTATGTGCCTTATATATGAATGAAAAACAAGCAGAATGGTATGGTTGTTCAGCAAATACGAAATTGCTCTGTTCCCTAACCTTTCCTCTTCTCTATTTTATGATTTGTATGGTTTTTTATGTTTTATGCTTCCGCTGCCCATTGCTTGTCTTAATAGATATATCTATCAAGAGGAGAGAGTTAAATCTTTGTTGTTTTTATCTAGTTATTTTAGACACATCTCTACAATGGTAAGATATCGTCCGCTTTGAATTTTGACTCTTCTAGTTTTGCTTTTAGTCATTACCCAAAAGGCATTTAATGAAGTATGTATGTGCTTTATAAACTTTTATTTCTCCTCTTGTTCTACCGATGTGAGATCTTGTTTATATCCCAACAAATTGTAACTAAATAGTCTCTAAATAGTGAAGGGAAGGGTGTTAGTCAGGGTAGACAATTACTCAGAAGTTGTTACGAGAGGAGAAGTCTCTCAAATACCTCATTGCATTTCTCTAGTTGTATTGATTAGGAGAATTGCTCAATAATACTCAAGGATCACGCCTATATTCTTTTCAATCTTTCTATCATATCAGTTGGAACCTATCAACTGGTTTTCAAAGCAGAATTATCTGGCCACGAAAGTGATGGTTCGCAAGAAGATGGATGCAAGAAACGAAGCTCTAGAGCGGGAACTTCATGAATCAGCAGAAAGAATGCAAGGTTCATAACTGCTATATTCTGCCATGTCCTTGCATCCAACGATGACATGAACATGCCAACTACCATCGTAACATTCCACTTGTCAGGGATAGTTGCATGTCAAACACTCCTCTGGATTCTCCTAGCCGAGTTTGTGTGGTACTCTATCATCAACATGCTTCTTTTACTAGTACTCTGCCTCTGATTCTTTGACTACATTGCTAACATCACTCAGCTGCTTCGCAACACACCTTCCAATGCTGATCAGATGTCAAATATGGAACTTCAGGAAGCTCGGTTGTAGCATTTGGATGGCCTTATAGTAGTGTTTCTGTTGATATTTTCTTATTTTTCTCAACATACAACTTTTGTTGCTGCAATAGTTCCTTTGGTGAATAGTTTGGATTTCAATAATGATTAAGTGTTAGTTAGATTAGTCCCGAAATTATGGGGTTATACATTAGCTGTCCAGCTTTTACAATGATTTTTCATACAAGTTACTTCTTCTGTCATAAAATAAGTATCATGTAAGAAGAATAAAAAGTCTCAAAGTAAGTTTCCCTTACACTACTGTGGCCATTGAATGGTTCATTGCTGATTTCTGTTTACCAATAATCATTTTAATCATACTTCTTTTAATCTCCTGGTACCTTGAATGAGTTAAACTTATCAGAGAGAGTTAAATGCTTTAAAAATTACTCTCTACATTTTTCATGTTAAGTCATACCAGCTGCATCATATTTGATCCACACAGAACAAATTGTTGATACTTAAAATGATACAAGGACAAGTAGTGGCTCTGTGTCAACTCAATTCTCTGCTGAAGTAGAAAATTTCTTACCAGCCAATGAAGCTAATTGATTAAGAAAAATCAAAATAAGTTGAGACCAGATAAAAAAAAAATGAAGCTATTTATCGTGTTATTATGTTGTGTGAAATTTTAGGACGACATTTTGACCAAAAACACAGTAGTGATGTTTGTTGGGAAGTCCCACATCGCCTGTCTCAATTCTCTAGATATGGTTTATATATCTATTGGGTAACTTTACTTAATACCAATTGGTTTTAAGCTGAAATCTAACATGGTATCAAAGTCTAGAACCCATCTTCTTGGTTTGCCTATTCTGGTAGGCTTCACCTGGTTCAGCAGGAATCCATCTGTGTTGGAAA